TTTGTTTGTTTGTTTGTTTTTAGAAACAAACAAAAAACCAAACCACAAAAGCTTGGTTTTATGAGGGATTTTTCTTTGTCTAAACTACAGTCAGCTTAGAAAAAGAGAAATAGTACTCACTGCCAGTCCCATGAACTCAAGCTGAGCTCTGACAGTCAGTCTTGAGTGCTCTCTGCTCTTGTCAAAAGGGTAGAAGGTTTTGGTGCTGATGTCTTTGTGGGGTTTTATGTCATTAAGACTCCAAAAGTAGAAGCTTGAAGCACAGTGTGACATAGAGAGAACCAGGAACTGAATCCCTGGATTAAGCAGGAAGTAAAAGCAGCATCAGCCACCAACTGCAGTGAAAAAGAAGTATTTTTGCTAAATTAAATGATGGGAAAGTTTCAGCTTGAAAAGCTGAAAAATGCTACTATGGCCCTTTTCAGAGTGGAACTGGCTTTAAGTCTCAGGAACTGCTTTTGGCTCTGCTGTTTGAATTACACCATGACATCTTATTGGTTGGCTAGATGTTGGAATACTCCACAAAGTTGAGAAACAGAGGGAAGAGCTCCTGTCAGCAGTGCTCTGAGTGAGTCAGATCCTCCCTGAGATTAATAGTCACTAAAAGTGATCTTGAAGAATCCAGAAAAGTGTCAGGCAATGGTACATTCTGAAAAGTGCTCTGAAATTAGTGATCCTCCTTCCTTAAACCATGTTTAGAATTAAACGGGTAATTTTCAGCCATCTGTCGCATTTGATGGTTTTGGATATATGTCTGGAAAGCTGAGCCTTTTCCCAGTACCCAGGTGTACCACAGAGTGGGAGTGACTGAGAACAAAAGGAAACAGGCCTATCAGCAAAGGAGTAAGAGGAGTAAGATGTTCTTATTTTTACTACAGGTTAAAAAAGCGTGTCAGGGCAGGAACTGTGACTGCACGGGGAACCTTGGGAACTCTGTGTACTGTGCTCTTGTCCAGTGCAGGAATTAACCTGCATCAGATACAAAACAAAAGTGAATTAACACCCATTCGGGTTTTTATGATCAGCTGTCTTTGTTCAGAGAATTTTATTCTGTCAGCAATTACTTAGGAACGTTATTGAAGTGAAACATTATTTGGAAAGGTTTGCTTAGACTTTTGTTTGAATTTGCAATACAGTAACTGTTTCCTGTCCCTTCCAAGAATTCTCTTCTCCCTTTTCCTCTGAAGCTCTGTTTGTTGAGGTTAGTGGAACTGTGTGGATGGCTTGCAGAAATGCAATCAGGTTTCTCCCATCAGGTAAATAATCTATGTTTATTCAGATTAGCCTTGGAACAAAGTTCAAATGGCAACAGGACAACTATGAACAATTTCACAACTGCACATGACTAAAAAATAAAGAAGTCAGGATTTTGTAATACCCCCCCCCCCAAAATGGAGCATATATCTTAAAAACAATACCAGATTTCTTAAAAACAGTATCAGATTGTACTCCTGCAGGGAGTTAGATGTTTATCCTGGCACTGGCAGTGTGTGAGCTGCTGTCTTGATTCCTTTGACAGAAAATGAACTGCGTGGCAAAGTTGTCTGGGTGACAGGAGCTTCAAGTGGAATCGGAGAAGAGCTGACTTACCAGCTGGCAAAGATAGGAGCCCTGCTTGCCATCTCTGCGAGAAGGGAGGATGAGCTGGAGAGAGTGAAAAAGAAATGCCTTCGTAAGTACAACTTAACCACTTCAGGCAAACAGCTCCACTCCTGCTGTGGTGGAATTGCCACGGAAACACTAACCCACATGTCACAGGAATAAATTTAATAATGAAAGTCAGCTTTATACAGAGCTTCCCTGTACCTTTGAAGCTGGTACTTGCTTTCTGTGAGTAAGAAAGCTTTGTGTAGACCTGCATGACAAGTTCCTTTAAAAGCCTCTGTTACCTAAAAATCTCCTTATCAACTGCAAGTGATCTTGTAAGATACTAGATTAAGAAATGTAATAAACACTGTTGGGAGTGGAGGAAACAATGTCGGGGGTATCATCCTGTAAAAGAACCAAACCATGTAGGTGAACACTGCTGAGAAATCTTCTTCCTTCAGGTTTGTGTGTGTTGCGAGGCAGAGCGACAACTGATTTTGCTCTTTGGAAAAAGCATGTTCTAAGAATTTGCAAGCAAGAGAATCTCCTGTAGGTCAAAAGGAAAAAAATGTGAAGTGGAATGTTTAACCATTCCATTATCTTTCATATGCCTGTGGAGTCAGTAGCCTGGTTTCATTCCTCCTGTTTCTCTTTCTCCCTCCTGTTTTCTATCTTGGCAGCGAGAGGGACATGCAGTCGATTCATGCTGATGGAGGTTTTGAACATGATTAATGTTACGCCTCTTCCAGGCTGTTTATCCTCTACAGCTCAGAGTGCAGTATTTCACAGGGAATCTGCTATCACCCTGGCAGTTCATTCCTAGTAATGTTGATAGAATGTCTGCAGCGTACTTGGAACGTGTGCTGAGAACACTGAAATGTTTCTCTTGGGTTAGCACCTAAGCATTTCTAGAAAGCTGAAAGCTGCAGTAGCCTACTCAGAAAATCTCTCAAGGAACTTTTAAAAATGCACAGCTCCTTAGTTTTATTTACTGCTGGTTCCAGAAAGCAGTTACTCAGAGGGTTACATTTATAAAGAAGAAGGGGACATGCAATGACAGGGTGGCAGTCGTGACAGAACCCCAGTGCCGTGTGACGCAATGCTGAGTGGTCAGGAGAAGTCTGGAACTGTTTGTTATCATTGCAAAACTGATAACACAAGATAGGCTGGCAGGAGCTCTAATCCTGGATAGGCATTTTCAGGAAATACTTGTATGAGAGGGTTACGTGTCAAGGGAATATTCAGAAATATTATTTCCATTCATGTGCACCAGGAGTAGAGACTTATCTGAGATGATTTCTGCTTCTGCCAACTTCTAAGTGACCCTGTGAATGTCTGAGCTGTGCTATGTATGAGCTTTAAAGTCCTGTGTAGCCCTGTGCTTTGCAAATATTTGCTGCTGAACTTTAACCTTTAACTAAAGGTCTGATTAGTAGGAATGTTGGAAACTCTTCAGTAACACAGAAACATAACAAGGGCATGAAGTGATAGAACAAGGGGAATGGCTTTAATCTGAGAGAGGACATGTTTAGGTTAGATCTTTGGAAGAAATTATTCCTTGTGAGGCCCTGGCGCAGGTTGCCCAGAGAAGCTGTGGCTGTCCCATCCCTGCAAGTGTTCAAGGCCAGGTTGGATGGGGCTCTGAGCGACCTGGGCTAGTGGAAGGTGTCCCTGCCCATGGCAGGGGGTGAAACTGGATTGTCTTCAAGGTACCTTCCAACCCAAACCATTCTCTGAGTCTATGATTCTATGACAGTTACTTCATGTTTTCTATAGCGCCTTCAAGTAGTGGAAGAGAGTAACTGAATACACTTCACTCTCATCCTTTGCTTCTCAAGACCACGTAAATCCAGCTACTGCCCCTTTCCTTGACCATCTCAGTGGTCCTATTCTACACTGTTTCCAGTGTATGTGTATTTGTTTTGAACTAGAGGGGTCCAAAACCAGACACAGTGCTTTAGATGCAGTCTGAGAATGCCGTGTAGAGGCTCTTAAAAATCACTTTCCCTCAGTCTGCTTTAGTTGGTGCAGCCCATTAGCATTTGTAATTGCCAGAAACAATGCTGATTTACACTCAGCTTGCTGTTGTCCTTCCATCAGAACCTCAGGTCTTGTTTGGGGAGCTGATCCGTAACCATCTGGATGTTGGCCTGCAGTACTGCCCAGCATTGTGCCGTCCCACATGTGAAGTTTGGCATTTGACTTTATTGAGCTCAGTGAAGTTTGTCAGACTCTTCTTAGAGCTTGTAAAGATGCCTCCCCATGGCAGTCTTGCTCTGCAGCAGAGCAGCTGCTCCTCTGAACTTGATGTTAACTGAAAATTTTCTCAAAACCTGTGTTTTCTGTCCCATCATCTGGCTCATTAATGACGATACTAAAATGTATCGATCAGGGAGGGATACCACAGCTGATCACAAAAAGCAGTTAGGTTGATCAGGCAGTAAATGGCCGTGCTGGATCCCTGCAGGCTTTTCTCACATACCTACTTCTCCTTCACGTCCTTGGAAATTGCTTTCAGGAGGAATTGCCACACAACTTTCCCGAGGGCTGAGGTTAAGCTGTGTGACACTTCCCTTTCTCCAGTCACTGGGGAGTTACTGCACTTACCAAGGACCTTCCAAAGATGAGTGACATCAGTTAGCTCTTGTGAATCTTGGATGTATATATTGCCCTGCTTATATGTGCAGTTTGTCCCTAATTTGTCTTCCTCTGACTCTGTTAGTATTTCTTTCCCCCAGAGTTTAGCCTCAGGAGTGTGGGAGACTTGAGAGGAGATCTTGCCGGGGAAGACTAAAGCAAAGAAGGCAATAAGTACCTGACGTTTTTCTGTGCCCTTCCTCACTTCCCCCTCACCATCCCTGCTCAGCTCTCTGTGTCTTTGGTTTCCTCTCTGTTGCCGCTGTGCCTGTGAAGCCTTTGCCACCTTTCACATTCCTCGCTAGTTTCAAACTCCACCTGGTTGTTGATCCTCCTGATTCCATCCCTGCATGAGTGGGCAGTGGGTCCATGTGATTCCTGGGTGGTTTGTCCCTGCTTCCACCTGCATGTTTTCTCTTTGCAGTTGAGTTCAAGACTGTTCTGCAAGATTTGAGTAGCGTGGGGTGGATTAGGAGTGAGCTGCAACATGTAATATCAATGTGAATTTGGCTGAGTTACGGGCCATAATTGGAGCTAATGGGCTGTGACATGCCTCCTGGAGAGGCTGTACACAGCAGCAACTGAACTAGATGTCAGAAACAAGCACATATATCTTGTTCAAAATTTAGTGACACCACCCTGTGATACAGGTTGATGCATTCTGCACTGTCTAAAAGCTGAGGGAGAGAGAGAAGGAAAGCTCTGTAAGAGCTATGCCAATAGCTGTTGAGTAATGCATATGCCAACTCAACACTTCATTGCACTTGTGCAGGAGGGAGAGAAAACAACTTGCATAACTTCTGTGGCTCCTGCAAGTGGCTCCTCTATTTCCCCCAGGCACTCTCTGCAACATGAGCTGAATTTTATCAGAAATGCTGGAGGCTGCTTTCTCTCAAAAGCCCTAAAAAGAATAAAAGCAAGTGGGATGTTTCTTGGCTTGACAAAGCTCAAATAGGATTTAAATATGGATAGGCCAAATGAGTGACAGGCAAGCTGTAGGTTCAAAAAGTGTGTGGTTATTTAGGTTGGGGAATGGACCCCAGGAGGTCACATTGATCAACCTCTGCTAAAAGCTCAACTTCTGTCTAATGGCATTACACAAGGAAGAAATAAAAGAAGAGGAAATGCTGGAAAACACCACACTGAGCAATAGTGTTTATCATGTTATGAGAAGCTGAGATCTCGGGTTCACATGTTTTGAAAAGAGTTGCTGATCTGAAACCTGAACGATGAACTCTCAACTGAGATCTCCCGCTTGGGACCAAGTGTTTTTCTGGGTGTCATAAGTATTCCCTAAAGCACATCAGTTTGGAATCAGGCAAAGAAAGGGCAGTGGAATGTTGGGGGTTATTAATAAAAGCAATGAAGAACATCATTCTGGCAGTGTATAACCTGGGACGTGCCTATGCCTTCAGCACGGGGCACAGTGCTGTGCCCAGCCAGAATAAAAATGGGATGAGTGAATGGGAGAAGTATTTTGGACAAAGAGCAACAGGAATGTTGGAAGTTTTGTGAAAGCTGTCTATGAGGAGTGCCTAGAGTAAGGATTCCTTGCCCTAGAAAAGAATTAAGGAGGCTGCTGAAGGGATACAGTTTGAGTGCTTTGGGGGTTGGAAATCAAGCTGGACTCTGGATTGCTCCAAAACAACATTTCTGGTTTGAAATTTCCTGATGTCAGAAGTTTCTCACATCTTATAAAAGAGCACTTCCTTCCTTATCAGCAGTCTTTCTCTGCTCTTTTCTTTCTCCTCTGTGCAGCTTTCATGGCTGGGTCGAGTGTCTGGCCTTGTTAATCCAAGGCAGGAACACTCCACACCCTGACAGGTTTCAGCCCTGCAAATCTGCTTGAGGCAGCGTGAGGTGGAGATGTGTCTCTGAGAGAGCAGCTTAAACTACATGGATTTTGCTGCTGTATTTCTGGAAGAAACTGAAGGGAAAATACACATGGAGGGGTTGGAGGGAGAAATAAATGGAGTTACTTGTAGTATTAAACCAGAGAGATGGGTTTGTTTTAACCAGTGGCTTAAGTACTAATGAACTTTGAACAGAGGCAACTGACGGATTTAAGTAACCTCTTTATTTCTACATCACTGTTAAGACAAAGTTTAACCTTCCTTGTGTATGAAGAAGTAATAATTAAAAAATCAAGGCCTGAGGCTCTCTGTAGAGTTCAGCTGCCTAAAGGGGAGCAGGTACACTTAGTTGTGGCTGGGAATTGATTTAGAAACAAAAATAGCACTATCAAACTAATATAAATAAAGTAAAAAATCATGCTATGTGCAGTTTAAAAAGGTGAAGTGACAAAGATCTTGTTTTTGTGAGTCATCTGTCCCGAAACCCCCGGGTAACAGATCAGCGCTCAAGAAATGTTTCCTGGGGAAAAGGTCGGTTGTTCTGAAGAGACAGTGGTAGAAGCACTCAGCGTGAGGGCTGGAGCTTGATGGCAGCTGACTTTTATTTCAGGAGATGGATATGTTAAAACTACCAGTTAAACAAAACCTTCCTGCTTCCTCCAATAATGCCCCAATAACCCAGCTCCTCTAGACTTTGCCTCATAGCTGCTCAGGTGTGTTATGTTGTGGTTTGGCTCTAAATTGTGCTAGTCCTGTTATCAGGAATAAACATGCTTGACCTGTTAACATCCAAGCAAAATGTCAGGGCTGCCAGCGTGCTGTGCTTCTGATTGGCTCAGAGGAAAACTTGGATGCACGTTACTCCCAACTGTTGCAATTTGTTTGGAGAATTGAGTTGTCTGTGTTGGGCTACACAAGCTTGTTTTGATAAGTCAAGCTTTTCATGTACAGAAGCATAATGATGAGAAAAGAAGGCCTTGGTAGGAAACAGGTTAAAAATGGATTCTCTGCAGAGATAAAAATGAAAGCAAAGCAAGCATTTTAAGCAAAGCAAGCATTTTATTTACAACTTGGTGTTACTGTTTCTTGTTGTCTTTTTTGTGAAAATGTGGTGTTTAAAAGCGTGTTACATTTCCCACAGTTGTTACATTAGCAGTCTCTCACTGGTTCCCATTCACTCCATGGTTATTTTCAGAGATCAGCAGCTTGAGTGACAAAGATATCCTTGTTCTGCGTCTTGACTTGACTGACAGATCTTCTCACGAAGCTGCAACCAACAGTGTTCTTAAGCATTTTGGCAAGGTAAGGGGTGCTTCTGGGCTTAAACTGCTTTTTCTTCTCTACCTCCTAGACCTGCATTTATGTTCTTATTCTACTTTTATTTTATTGTACGATAAATTCACCGGTGTCTACCTCTTTATTCAGTATCAGCATGAAACTTGCCAAAAAGTCCCTGAATTTTTATCCCTTCTGCTCCTTGCCTCTGGGTTTCAGCAGGCTTTGCAGAGATGCAAAAACGAACAAATAATCCCTGGGCATATGACCAAAAACTAATTTGGTGTCACTGAATTGCCTGAGGAAGCACGAGAACTAAAGGAAATATCTTATATTAATTTATCTTTGTATCTTTTCCCAAGATCGACGTTTTGGTCAACAATGGAGGACGCTCCCAGCGCTCCTTGTTTGTGGATACAAACCTGGATGTCTACAATGCCATCATAGAACTCAACTACCTGGGTACAATCTCTTTAACGAAGTATGTCCTGAATCACATGATCCAGAGGAAAAGAGGAAAGATTGTTACTGTGAGCAGTGTGATGGGTATCATGGGAGCTCCTCTTGCCACTGGCTACTGTGCCAGCAAGCACGCTCTGCAGGTGAGTTAAATTTTGCAAGTTAATTAAGTCTTGCTGTGCAATAGACCAGCGTCAGTGCTATGGCAGAGGACTTTATTCTGTGCAGAAAACTCAAAATCTCCCGTGAAATTAAACACAGCATCCTCAGGTATTGAAAGTCCTGAAATTAAATTGCTCTGAAATGCAAAATATCTCAGCTCCCAGTATAGATTTATTTTCTAACTAGAATTCAAAGTGCCATCTTAGTTGGTTCTAACCTCTACCTGGTTAAATTCCACTGTGAAACACAAGACCTTGGCCTCTGTCCCTCAGATGAGGGAATACCTAAGCAGCAGGATTATTCTGTATAGAAGTTCTCATCTTAACTCAGTGAAGGAGGAAGAGTCACTGGTGAGAGTTTTAAGACTACAGGAAATCTTTAGGACAGTAAAGGGAGAGCAGCGAGTGGGGAAGCAAACTACTCAGGGAAAGGAGAATTTCTGATCTGTCTGAGAACATCTGAGCAAATCTTCCCAGCGGTTCTGAATGTTGCTGTGGCGTGAAAAACTAGCAACTCACAGTGTCCTGTTTCTTGAAAGTAGCATCACTTGAGTAGAAAAACATAAAAGAGGAGCTCGGAAGAGTATCTGCCTGTATCATTGAGGAATCATTTGTTTAACTGGTAAATTTGTTGAGCCGTGTTTGTCTTTCACCACTGTTTGGCTTCCTGCTAATGTACATTTTGATGTCAGTAAAACAAACCTCAGCTGTGCTCAGTGGTGGCTTAAAAAACTGGCACCTTGGCCCTCCCTGCTGCCTTTAAGCACGTGAACAGAGTAAATAACTGCCTAATCTGGGGGATCAATATCTTTTTGATAATTTGACTAGCAACAACAGAAATGTAACAGGTGGCTGACACTGCAAAGCCACGTGAAGGAATGAAGGTGTAGATGATGGTGACAGGTCTCTGCCGGCAAGAAGTTTTCAGTTAGTGGTGGGGAGGGATCTGCAGCTCTTCCCTGGGAGTAGCAGTGCTGAAATTGCCCAGTAGAGGCCAACTCTTGGGTTAAGTCTAGTAGATTTAAATTAGAACAAAGCAGTGAGCAGAAGAGCCTGGATTCCCTTCGTGCTCCTTCATTTATTAAATGTTCTTTCGGTTGAATTATCTCTGGGCGTGGTGCGGTTGGGCTGAGCGTGGCTAATTAACTGCAGAGCACAAGGAATTCATGTGCTGCTTCAAAAATACCCGGAATTCTGAGTCTCATGTTAAGACTGAGAGTGTGGACAGAGCTTTAAAGAGATTGATTTCTAAAATTAATTAAAATGTGCTCTCTGAACTGCTTATATCTCCTTGGCTTTTCCCTCTGCTCAACAACCAGGCCAACCAGGCTCCAACCTCCTTTCTTGTTTTGCTCACAGTAGTTCTACAAATACAAATTGCAGGTGTTGAAACAGCATAGATTTCAAAAAGACTCTGTCTGAGGATCTCTCCTGGTCTGGAGCTAAGGCTAAGTGTGGGCAGGAAACCCCCAAAAACTAGGAAAAGCTTATTTTAAATATCGAACTTCACCAGAACATTTCAGGTAAGGGAAGTCTGCAAGAGTGGCAGCCCCTTCAGATAGCTCTGTAGCCCAGCTCTGATGGTGACCAAGAAGATATCACAGATATCACAGAATATTCTGAGTTGGAAGGGAGGGGAGGAAAAAAATAAGACAAGTGATGCTTTTCCTGTTGTGTTTTCTCGGCGTGTATCCACCTGTATTTTAAGATCTTGAAATGAAGGTTGCATTTTGGCCACCAGTTATTAAGTATGTGAGCCTGTCTGACTTGAATTCATCTGTTATGGCTTTTGGTTTGGTTTGGTTTTTATAATTCACACCTTGGAGCCCGTCACAGCTGACACCCTTCATGCTGCAATCTTAGTCATACCTTTTGGGAAAAAGTTCCTCCTTTTGCTGGTTTTGTTTTGGTGTTTCTGTTTTGTATTGTTTTTAGGGTTTTTTTGTTTGTTTTTGGTTTGGGGTTTTTGTTTTTATTTTTTTTCTAATTCTTTTAAATGGCAGTTGGAGGAGGAAGGAAGGAATTCTGCTTAGAATTAGAACTTCTTCTTGAAACAATCCCACTTTGATTCACACCAACTGGAATTCTTCATGACAGTGATCTAGTGATGAAATTATCCTTTATTTCAGTGCTGTGAAAGTGTGAGTTGAGTCCATGGGAGTCTGTATCTGACTGATGCAGTTTCTCTCTCGGTGAGATGATGCTCATGGAGATCCTGTGCCACTCACCCAGTTTTGATTCATCTAATTGGTGGCGTGTGGAGTGGATCAGAGTGGCCTTCAAAGTGTCCCTTCATCAGGAACTTGCCTAATAAGCCCATGGACTGCACTGAGCAGCAGAAACTCCTCTCTTTGTTCAATTCTTTGGTCATTAGTAGAATTTCTAAATGTTTCTGTCATAGGAGTCATTTCAGGCTTGTCTTCTTCAGCATCTTCTGGGATTTGTTCACCAAGCTGGAAAGGCCCAGAGGTGGCTGAGAGCAGCTCCTGTGTCTGTCAGGGCTCGGTGGAGACACTCAGGTTCTTCCTCTTGCACGGGAGTTCCTTTACTGCTCCCAAATCTGGGTCCGTCCCTGCCTGAATTCAAAGAAAAGAGAGCACTTCCTCTTCTTTCTTAGGAATTTAAAGCTTGTCTTCTGGGAGGAAGTGGAGGAATTTCATACCAGCTATCTTTGGATGTGAAAGATAAGTGCTGGAATTGGAGAGCGTGTACAAAGTGTACACAGAGCCTCCAGAGGGGACTGAGCACATGTGAGATTCTGGTTTTCACAGCCGTCTTGGGGCCACATCTGAAAGGTGCTCAGTGGGCTGGAGGAGGCTCCTGTCAGGGCAGGAGATAATCCAAGGGAGGGCCTGGCTTTTAATTAAAAAAAAAAAAAAAAAAAAAAAGGGGGGGGGGGGGGGGGGGAGGGGTGTGGCTGGTAGATTGCTGTGGTCCAGGAGCAGATTTCTGGGCACACAAGTGTCTTTAACATTAGAACTTAGTCCTCTCCGGGCTTTGCTACCCTGTTGTGAAGGTCTGACACCAGATCTGGGGCCTGCAGGTACTTATGACTTTAAATACACTGCAAAGCCTGTGGGCAATCCATAAACTGGAATTAGCCACCAGCAGCTGGGAAATTGGAGCTCGTGTTCTTGGTCAGAGTGGGCAAGAGCTCTTGTGGCTTGTCCCAGCTGGTGCTCCTGTGTCATCATAGGCTCGTATCTGACTGGTTTTAGCCCCGTGCTGCAACTCAGTGAGGAGCTCTGGGTCAGCCAGCCCTCTTCCCTGCAGCTGCAGGGGAGTACAAGTGATAACATTTTACTACAGTGGGAGTGTATCAGCCTTTGCTCACTCTCTGTCTCTGTTGTGACACAAAATTGCGAGTTGGAATTAAGACAGGGAACTGTTATTTACTAAGCAGGTCAAAGATAAGACATGAAGGGGTGTAGGCTAAATCAGCAGTGATTGACCAGTGCCCTCCTGAATTGCTCATGTTTCCCATAACAGTTGCCATGTAAATGTGAAAAGCTACAGAGATTCAGAAAACTTGTATCCTGTTAGTTTAAAGAAAAGTAAAACTTGCAGTTTTTGCAATTGCAATTTAACTTGGATACACTGATGTCCTGTTCCTCAGCTGAAATAAGATTTATATCTGTGTGGATGCAGATTTCAAACTTTGCAATGAATTCAGTGGTGCAGAATTAACCCTCTAAATTTATCAGGGTGCACCTTTGACTTGCTGTGCTGAAAAGTTTTTCTCTTATATAAAACCAGCCACTTACTTAGTAAAGCCACTTAATGGACAGAAACCATATAAAAACTTTAATCTCACCACAAAGAGCAATTCACCTAAAAAAGGTAATTTCCATGATATTGCAGTTCTTAGAATTGGTGGCATTTCCACTACTGTAGAGCAAAGCTTGTCCTCAGTACAGGGACAGCAGAATCTGGATGTAGTTTAGCAAAATTATTGTGTATTTGGGAAGCCAAGGATACACTGCACACTGGTTTGTACGTCAGTGTCTGTAATTGCTGATAAAATGTTAAATTAGCCGTTGAGTGTGGAAAGCCAAAACAAAGTAGTAGGAATTTTAGTGGAATACTGTTATTTTTACAGCATGAATTAGCATGAAAAGATGTAGTCAGTTAAGCCTTTCAGAGACATGGTAAAAGGAAGATTTCATGATATTCTTTTCTTCTAGGGATTTTTTAATTCCCTGCGGACTGAGCTGACCGACTACCCTGAGATCAGCATCATCAACATTTGCCCAGGGCCTGTGCAGTCCAAGATTATCCAAAATGTCTTCACAGAGAATCTTGCAAAGGTAAGAACTCACTTCTCTTGTTATAAATCCAACTTCTGCTGCAGGGCCAGTGATCCTTTCGTGGTTTTCTTCTCTTTTTCTCCTCCCAGCAAACACTGACCTCATCTTTTTAACTAAGAAGTGCTTTGAGTGGTACAGAACTGTCAAATCTGTATGATAAAAAAAAAAAAATATTGAGTTTGATAATTGTTATACCTTCTCTTTTTCCCAAGAGAGAACAACCCAAGTCTGGTAAAATTTCCTGTACAGCCACTGTGCTGCAGCTGTGGGGGAAAAGTCCAGGCTTTTCTGGACACAGCTGTGCCCGCAGAACACTGTCCTTGTGCACAGGTAGAGCTTTGTTTGCCCTGGTCACGCTGTGCCCTGGTGGGTGATGCTGCTGCTGGCACAGCCCCAGCTCAGCTGACGGGAGCTGCGCATTCCTTTCCTGTTAGGGATTGTTCCAGGAGGAAAAGCAAAACCTTCCAACTGCACAATGGTTTTTAATAAAGGCTGTCCTCACAAAGCAGCTGGCCAAAAATTGCCAGTGGGATACAACAAACTGTAATCTGCCCTAAATTCACTCAATCTGAAGCTCAGGATAACCCACCAGTGAGGGGGAGGGGCTCTCCCGTTGCTGAACCCAGTTCTGGGAGGATTTTTGGCTTGCAAAGCTTGATAATTGCGTGAAAGAAAAGATGTTCTCTTTGAGCAATGGGGGAAGCTTGCAAAACACATTCCTCAGATTTCAGCATGGCAGAAGACCAGGGAGGAAGAGCAAATCTAGACCAGAACTGCTTTTGCCCTGGGAAACAAGAACAGATTGCTAGAGCAGTGTGTTTGTGCTGCAGTGAAATGTGTGTAAATTCACAGGGGTGTTCACTAAGTGATACATGGGGACAAGACCTGGGGTAGATATCCCTGCTCCAAGGCAGCCTCCTGATTTTCCCTTGGCTGAGATTGCCCATGGAGGGAGAGTTGGCAGGAATATTTAAGTTAATGGGGACTGTGTCCTCATCAGCTAACTTGGTTACTGAGTAACTTGTAGCATGGAAGGGGGCAGAAAGCTGGGAATAGGGGTGTTCCCATTTCCCAGAGCTACAGGAATGGGGGTAACCTGTTCCAAGAATCTGTGTCACCATCAAGTAGAAGCTGTGCTGAAGCAGGGCAGAGCTTGCAGATCCATTTTATCTTTTTTTTTTTTTTTTTTTAACCTTTGACCCATCAATCAAGGCACTAATTAAAAGGGTGCTTTTAATTAAGCCAAAGGAAGGTGGGTTCCCACAGTGAACAGCAGCCTCAGTCTCTGCCTTACTGGCTGGATTTTAGCTGTGGGGAGGCTGTGAGGAGGGAGGATGCCTGGCACATAGAGCTTATGTGCTCCATCCCTCCCTGGGATCCAGCTCTAACCCCTGCTCACCCTCTGTCCCGCCCAGTCCATAGAGAACAGCGGGGACCAGTCCCACAAGATGCCCACGGACCGCTGTGCCCGGCTCACCCTGGTGAGCACGGCCAACGACCTGAAGGAGGCCTGGATCAGCGACCACCCCTACCTGGCCGTCTGCTACCTGTGGCAGTACGCGCCCACCTGGGCCTGGTGGCTCATGAACAGGATGGGCAAGAGGAGGATACAGAACTTCAAGAGTGGAGTGGTAAGTGCTGGCTGACTCATTTTTCCTGTGCTCAGTTCTGTAGCAGCTGATGCCCGGCCAGAGTCCATCCCTGCATCATGTTAGTGCAGAGTTAAACAGTGTGGTCGCAGCACAGCAAAGTCAGCACGTCTTGCAGTGCCCCAGGCCTTGCTCTGACCTCCATCCCACGGGCTGCGAGTTCAGGACTCCCTGTTAACGCACAGTTATACGTCACTGGCATGAATCACTTAATGCAGGACTGTGGAAAACATCTCCCTTGGTCGTGTCTAGTTTTTGTACCAGGCACGTAACCTGAGCACCTCCCAGGAGGGTGTTACACGGTGCTGTTGTCTGTCGGGGCTCTTCACACACACCGGCAGCCCCGGGGACAGACCTGCTGCCTTCTGTCCCTGCAGCACTGCTCGGTAGATGCTGTTTATTATTGCTGTTTTTTTTTGAACTTGGCACAAAAAAAACCCCCACATTAAAAGTACTCCAAAAGCAGGAAATGCAAAAATGAAGCCTCCTGCTTCCACACTGTAACCGCCCCCCATCACAAGCTCTTCCAAAGAAAAAACACCGCGAGTGAAGAACTTCAACGCAGCAGAAAGTGGGGGGTGAAATACTGATTTAATGTCCTCTCCCCCCAGGATGCCGATGCCTCTTACTCAAGAAAGAAGAAATAAGGATGAGATTGTACAAAATCATGCTGTTCTTGTGCTAAGGCTGAGAAACTTTTCGTACTGCGTGACTGCAGCAACAGCTTTTTTTTTTTATCTGTTATATCTTTATCATCCTGTATCTTGACAAATCTATCAAGCTGACGAGACACTTGACTAAATAAAAATCTCTTTCTAAACACACCTGTTTCATGTTAAAATTCCCACAGGCTGAATTTTTAAGCTTACAAGCACTGAGACACAGGAGAGGCTGGGCTTCTGTGGTGCTGTTTGTCAATTGCTATGACACTGGCAAACACTTGGTGAGCAGCCTAAAAATTATATACCCCAGGATCCTGTTTCCCTCACTTTTATTCCTAATTCCTATTGAGAAAAACCAGCCCTCAAGTAGAAGGTTGCTGGAGGCTGGGATGTCTGATCTGTGCTTTGTGAAGTGTTCCTTGAGCAAAGCGTGCATTGAGGGCTAAATCCCTGAACTTCTGAAACAACATTTAGAAGTTACTTAAAAACCCATTCCTAAGTTATGGAAACTTTCCAGCCCGAGCAAGGAATAAAAGCTGGTGCGCACACGTGGTTACAAAACAGAGCAGCTCTCAGGGGTCATGGGGGAAAATGGGAGGGTGGCCTGTGCCAAGCCCAGTCCTGCATCGTGAGAGCAGTGCAGGGCTAACCCCGTCAGCAGCCTGGGGTCACGTTGCTGCAAAAACTATGGGGAGGTACCAATGGCTCCGTGCAGCAGCGAGTGAGGGGCGTGGGTGGGACACACTGCCTGTGACGGGGCAGGGGATGGGACGTTGCAGGGCATTACAGCCCAGCCCCACATTCCTGTGCACAAACAGGAATTCTGCCCATCACTAATTGTGCTCCACCATCTGGTACCAATCAGGATCTCTGCTGGAACGCCGGGGCCGGTTACCTGCAACAATCCTCGAGAAGGCCGGGTAGCAGATGGAGAGAACCCGGGGAAAGGAAGGGAAAAGGATCAGAGCTCTCTTCAGTTTTTCTCTCAACTACTTTATTCAGTTTAGAAAAGACATAGAATGAGGGCAGAAATCACAGCCATCTCCGAATAAAAGACTGCTGCTGCTGCAAAAAAAAAAGGTCATTAACTTTTCTGTGACCATATGGAAGACAAGTAGTAAGAGGTTTACAATGAGGCAGGGAGGGTTAACTGGATTCAGGGAATGACTCCCAACTTTGCAATTGCTGCAGGAACAGCACAGAACTGGAGTGAACTACTTGAGGGGTTTCTGACACTCCTGGTATTGGAAGTTTTAAATCAGAGTAAATATTTGCCAGGGTAGTTCCTTCTGAGGGAGCTGAAATAGGTTCTCTCCACAAGCCCCTTCCAAATCTCTTCCATGACCCTGAATTTCCAGATGCAGCTCAGGGCTGAGCACGGCACCAAACAGGTGTCTCCTGACTGCTCTGGAATTCCACTACACCACGTGCATAGTTTTTAAAAATCATTTATAGTCACTGATCAGAAGAAACAGCCAGCACCCAAAGTACACTGCTCTGTGACAATGAGTAAAAGTAATAAGCAAGCTCCAAATCGGACTAGGCTGCGTGTTCTCAACCATTTCTACATCAGTTAAGGAGCAGGTCTGACTCAAATTCATTCTATAGGTTAAGGAAATACAATTACCTACTCGCTGCTCAGCATTTCCCAGCAGTACCTACACTGTAACTACTGACCTACAGAGAAAGCACATTTATGTACTAAGTGGTGGTAGTGAAGAGCATCAAGAGCCACTGGAGACTGGGCCCAGACCTGCTTTCAAGGAGACTAATATTGCAAACCAGCTGCCAAAGTCTGTTCCGAGCTGTGGTAAGGTTAAAAAAAATAAATTACTTCTGGCACAGGCAGTTGGATTTCCACCTCCCCCCCCTCATTATCAAGTTCTTACTGTATTTGTGGAAGACTGGTTAGAGAGGTGGCTATAGGCTGCAAATAACATATATACAGTATATATCATATATATGGATACTGGAAGAAGGAGATGAAATTATTCCATTTGTACTCCCCTCATTATACATATTTACTTCTTTCATCAGTAGGTCACACAGGTTATCAGTGTGTCAGAGCACACACTGTTTCATATAAATTCTCTTTACCAAAACAAATACTTTGGTAAAAATTGTCCCTTAGAACTCACTTTTGTTAAAGCACAGCTGAGAACTTACAACAGCTACGGAAGATCAGTGAAAGTCATATAACAAACGCTAGAACTGAATTCAGTCCAATAAAAAATGGCCAGAATAAAAAAAAAACCCTCATATAAATAGTCCTATGTACACTTTGGTTGCCAACTCTGGGGTTGACAGTACTACAGAGAGCTGTAACCTGACTGGCAGTGCAAGTCACCTGTCTAAGAGAAAAAAAAAAAAAAGTAAAAATGCACCAAAAATAGTTAATGATCAGAATTGTGCTGCTCCTCTCTAAACTGGAGAAGAGAATTTCAGCATCTGGCTCGTCAGCCACACAGGCAATGGTGTCTCACGTTCCAGCAGCAGGAAAACAGTTCCAAACTTCCTGCCTGCTGAAGGTTCTGGCCAGCACCATCTCCGTGCCAAGGACGTGTGCCGGCCCGGCACCGCCACCGAGAGTCAAACCCGATCTGCAGTGCACGAATGGAGCACGAGCATTTGATTCCCAACATGCAGGTGAAAAACACAAAATAACAACAGTCGTAAAAAAAAAAGGGCATTCTAGAGCAGAGGGAGCTGCAGGAGCCCTGAGGAGTACACGGGGTAGCCCAGGGGCGGGTCGGCAGCCTGCACCGTCAGGTTGCGCAGCAGCACCGGGTGTGCCTGGATGCTGTACCGCTCCTCGTCGTCGTTGGTGGCGTAGAGCAGCTCCCAGGACAGGTTGGCCCACTGACCCCGGACAGCCTCAGCGTTCAGCTTTCCCACTTGCACCAGCAGTTCCTGAAGAGTGAGGACTCGCCCGGTGTAAATTCCCTGTGAGAACGAACAGATCGTGGTGTCAGTGCGTTCTCTGAGATGAGGCACGAGCATTTTGGTTACAAAGCTCAACGAAACTTTGGGGCTACATGCCATGAATATCCTCCCTTTAAACACAGCAAAGTGTATAAACCAGTCTCCTGGTTTTGACTCTTCCATCCAGGGAGATAATCAGGAAATATTGCTGCGTCTGTGGTGTGATTTATAACAACAGCGGTGTCAGTTCCTCTCGAGCACAAACATAAACTTAGCGCAGCCTTCATGCAATGCAATTACAGAGGGAAAAGAAAGAACAGTGGAAAGGAAAACCAAACTTAGACCTTGCTCACTGGCAATTTTTCTTCTTACCATGCTTGGGTCGTGCCCCAGTGAGAAAAGGTATGGCTTTTCCTGCAGAACTGCCTGCTGCCACTCCAGGTCTGACACCAGCCCGATGTACCAATCGCTGTCGTATTCCTCCAGGTAACTCACCAGCTCTTCAAAGTTCTCCACTGGACCCAGGCTGGCTTTGTCCACCATAAGTTTAAAAGTGTATCTGAAAGGTGCAGAAAGCCACATGGTCACTTGTGCAGCAGAGACAGGAGGGAGAAGGGCTCTTCAGCCTTTCAGAAGGTGGGGAAAGGCTCCACCAAACCCTGTCAGTTACTGCTCATCAGCTGAGCCACCGCCAGTCGGTCTGGCTGTGCTTTTAGCCCACCCTGATGTAGAGCACATCAACTTAAGCATCTCTCATTCCCCTCCAACACCGTTCCTGCTGCCTGGTAATGGAAAATGGCAAAATCTAAATCCATCACAATTCTCTTAGACATGGGGACAGTGAAAATGGGTTGTTTTTTCCCCACTTAACACAGCAGATTGGAGGCAGCTGCTGTGGGGAAGGGAGGGAAGAAGAAAACTCCATACCCCAGGGGTCACAGGCAACATTTATGTAGGAAGAAGCTACAAATACGTTTAAATGATAGGGGTTAAATGTAACTTAAGTGAAGTGGTATTCACTTCCAAAGCACAGGACTCTCCCTATATAATTATTTTATCTATGTGACGGAATGTTTCTCTTTTACCTGAATGCTTTTAATGCCAGCTGGAATAGCTCTGGTTTGCCTGTTAGCCAGTCCAAACCCACAGACCAGGGAATGCCCCCCGTGTAGGCCCTGAACACGTGGCTCGGGGCAGGCACAGCGTTATCCAGGCCAAACAGACCAAAGCAGCACGACAGCACTCCCTGGATGTACAAGTCCTTCAAAGCTTTATCTTCCATGAGGTCTGCAAGTAAACTGGAAGGCTTTTCTTTCAGATGGAAGAAGTCCAGCTGACTCAGAACGAAGTGGTACCATTCCTCTGGAAACCTCTGCCTCATCTCACTGACTTTGGAAGGCGGCACCGGCGCTGTTCTCCATTCCTCAGGGATGCTCAACAGCTCCGAGTAAGAGCAACTAAATTCAACCCGAGGCAAAACTTCTGGCTGTTTCCCTTTGTCTACAGCAGGCAGCCCAAGCACCACAGCCCTGTACAATTTATCTTCTGGTGACATTTCCTGTGCCAAGTCTTGGCTCTGTGTTTCCACAGACCCTGGAATAGACAGGTGCACTTTTGGTGTCGGTCCCAACTGCCCAGGTTCTTTCCTGTCTTTTGTTCTGCCACTGGGCTCAAAATCAAAAATGTCACTATCATCAGTCCAGTCCTCCACTGTATCCACACTAAAGCTGTCTTCTTCCCTCAGAGCCCTGGATCTTCCTACTGCACCGCTGTGCTGATTTTCTGGGAAAGACCCTTGTTTGTTCTTGTCGGTGCTGCCTGGGCTTTCCCACGTCTTCGATTTTTTATAACAATACTGGACAAGCATCCACACAAGCACTTTAATGAAATCATCTTTCAGGTGCTTTAAATTCTCGTGAGAGTCAATGATCCCGGATAACACATTCCTGGCATCGGAGTACAGCCGCACAGGCACCACAGTGCAAGGAGTCAGGATGTGCCCAAAGTGGGGATTGGGAGAGAGAAGCTTCGCCCGCTCCTGATGTTCAAAGGCCATTTCAAAAATTTCGTCAACTCTGTGAGCTTCAGCAGCGTGACAGGAGGTTTCCTGCAGTTCTAGCCCCTAAAGCACACACGAAAACAACTTCCTCTTAGTCTTCACCAGGACATGTCTTTAAATGCTAGCAAGCTGTTTGCCTCCAACAACATTTTTTCTGAATAAAAATATAAGTTGCGTTG